GGGGGGGCAACGACAGACGAAATCAGCTCGCAGCTCGCTGTTGTGGCGCGAGGCCCTCCTTGTGTATATCACGAACCTGTCACTGGCGAAGTCCGCCCACCCTTTTACCAGAGGGGGATGGGGATGGGAGGGAATGGCCTGCAGTGGGCGCGGGTCGCGGCGAGAGGGCTGGGGGGGAGGGAGTCGGAGGAAAGCGGCTGGGATACATCCCCATCCTCTTGTTCAAATATTGTCCCGCGTTAACGAAGCAGACGGGCCAGCCTAATATGAGGCCTGCAGGACTGGAGACGTAGGGAAGGCGAGGACGCCCCCCGGTCGCCCGTCCTCGCCGTCACGCCCGGGTAGGAGGCAAGGTGTGCAAGACGACAGAGTGACGTCTTGTGAGGGGGCACATCCGATACCTTTCTCAAATCAGTCGGAAAATTGCGCAATCTTGAAAGTGTGTAACGCTCAGTTTCCTCCCGTTAGTATTTGAAGGTTCCCTTCACCCTTTGGCGCGCTTCTTCCCGCCACTCGCTCTCGGACCAGGGACTACTTTGTCTCTGGCTGTCCACAGCGGACTACATCCGCCATTTCCGGTGGTCTGGTCAGTCGCCCTGCCTGAGTTTAGCAGGCCGGCAGGTCCGGTAATTTTATCCTGAATCATCTAGAAGATTATAATGGCTGGGCCATATATTTATTGAGATGCTTTTATGAGCTGTGCAAGAAAGGTTGGATAATAAATTTTGGTGAGTTCCAGTGGTAATTCTGGATATTTTGCTGTTCTTATGTGGAGCACATTTTCTAACCCCGTACCTCACATGTGTCATCCAGGTTATGATGATTGTAGACCGGATGCGGTTTCTTTATGGAATAAAATATAAGCCTCCTAATATGCCATCGGTGAGTTAGCCTCTTAGAGGAAAGGATCCATGATGAAATGTCCTGCCACTGTTAATAATTCCTGTGTCCTTTTATTCCAGGGTCTTATTGTTTAGCCCTACTTATTGGCAGTGTGTTATTGTTTATCTGAGATGTTGGACCTCCGGCGGCATGAATCTATTTTAATGTAAGATGAGTGGTGTTTTGTGTTACTTTTATGTAACTTTGATTATTGTTCTGCTTTGCTGTCTGGTACAGCTTGTGATTCTCTACTTGAACCCTTAATCTGTTTAAGGGCCATCTACAATGTGAGTGGAGTAGGGTTTAAGAGTAGAGTAAGGGAAGTGAGGTTAGGATGCTTTTCCTCGCGAATGCCCCGCGAAGTGATATGTCACGGTTTGTCACACCACACCACGGGGATGCTTCGCGGATGTCCTCGCGAGTCACCCTCATCGCGAGGCATTCGAGTTTCGCGAATCGCGACTTATCACTTAGCGGGGGGCTCAGAAGGGGCCAATTCGTTACTCCCCACGCCCAACTCTTTCCTACTCTGCTCCCATTGTAGATGGCCCTTTAGTTTGTGTTAAGCTGTTTGATACAGCCCCTGTGTTGATCTCTATCTCAACCTTTGTTGTTGATTGGACTCTCATTGACTTTTTGCATATTTTTATATGTCAATAACTTACTGTCACCACAGTGTTTAAACATAATACTAGCCATATCCTGATGGTACTTTTGTACCTGGCGCCCTTCTCAGTATATTCAAAGTCAGTTATTAGTTCAACCCAAGACCCGGCTAGCCGGCTGTACTGTTGGTAACTTATCCATCTTAGAGTCCATAGACTATGTGACCCAGCGGCAAAAGTCAATGTGGCAACGTTGCACCGTGTATTTGTTTTTGACCAATATAAACATAAAAATTCTCTAAAATTACCAAAAAGACGTTTAATGTCATTTGGTGTACTCTACGCGGGTACGCGGGTCTCCCTGCGGTTCTAGCAGAAAGATTTGCGACGTTGCCACGCTCAGAGTCACATCGTCTATTATTTTGAGGCTACAAGTTTGTCCTATTTTCCTGTTAGTCCGAGGCTGTGTTTAACGTAAATCAGGAGAGAAAATGGCGGCGGTACGTAATGGAGGGAGCGTTGGAGGTTAGCGGAAAGCCGAAACAAAAGTGAAAAGTTGCAACTTTAATAATTACTTGCGCGCGGCGGTCTCCTCGTGTCGCTGCTTTACCTCTGCTCCAGCTCCACCGCGCTCCAGCGCTCCCAGCCCCCGCAGCGCAGCAGGCCGGCGGGGGAGGGAGAGAGAGAGACAGAGAGCGAGCAAGAGGGAGAGAGAAAGAGAGGGAGAGGGGGGGGGGGATAGTGGCGTGCTGGTCGCACTACGAGCTGTTGGTCCGAAAATTAATGGCTCGCACTGTGAAGTGTCCACTTGAGTCGGGGCGGCGTAGGAGAGGGACGCGAGCAAGAGAAATGCGGAACTATGGCGAGTTTGGGAGCGGTGGAGAGAGGGAGAGAGAGAAAGAGAGGGGGGGGGGTCCATCCCCCTCGAGCGTATCCCATCCGGAGTGTCTAATGAGGAACGTTCTGCTGCGGCGCGCAGTGTATCGCCCGGGCCCACCCTCGTTCTCGCCATCCAGCCTGCTGCTGAGCTCGGGCGGCGCGCGGTGCGGGCCTCGCTCTGGTCCGCGCAGATAGGATTAGCATACGCTCTCCTCATGACCGATCTCTTTGTGTGTTGCAGATGTTGGCCCCCGCCGCGCCGCCCCGGGCCCCGCCCCAGTGCACGACCGCCCAGCCCGGCCTGAGCTGGGCCCTGTGATGACGCCGACCCTCCTCATCGCCACCGTCCGATGCTTCCTTATCCTTCTCCCCCTCTTCCTGACGTCCTCCACCTCCTCGTCGTCCTCGGCCTCCTCCTCTGCCTCAAGCTCGTCCCCATACCTCGCTGCCTCCGCTACCGCGAGCAGCTCCCCCGGCAGCCCGAGATGTGCGTCCCCTGCGTGTGCGGCGGCTGCGGCGGCGACGGTGCCGACTGCTGGCTCCGGGACGACCTGGAGGGGCACCTCCTTCACTCCTACGGGTACAGACACCTCCACGGGCTCCCCCGCGGACACGGCGGCGAGTCCATCCCAGAACAGCACCTCCACCATGTCCACCACCACCTCTATAACTGGGATCACTACGTCCCCCACGTCGTACACTGCGACGCCCACGCGCCCCGGCCCGCCCCTCCACACGGCGACCCCTCCGGCCGCGGAGGCCCCCCCGACCAGCCCCTCTGCCAGCGCCACGCACCGCGCGACGGGTACAGATGACGAGGCGGCGCCGGCGCCGACGTCATCCCCTGCACCCACCAGCGCCGGCGAGCGCCGCGGGCGGATGATGTACATGGCGCCGGTGCCGGAGGGCGGCGATGAGGAGGAGGACCCCGTCGATGAGGAGGAGTACGTGGAGGCCACGGACGGCCCGGAGTGGGGCGGCTACACGGACGTGGGCCCCGAGGACGAGGTGGCGGACGACAACTCCACGAGGGAGATGCTCTCGCCGTCGCACCAGGACGGCGTCAAGCCCAAACCCGAGAAGCGCTCCGAGTCGCGCGGTCAACAGGTAAGATCGTCTCATCCAGTGACATAACCGCGCTACCGTCGTCATCGTCTCTATCCTAACAACTGTGCCGTGCCCGCAGCTCGCGCTGCCCGAGGCGGCCGGCCTTGGAGGGCAGCGGCAGCGGCAGCAGCAGCGGCAGCAGCAGCGGCAGCAGCAGCGGCAGCAGCAGCCGCAGGCGTCGGCCGTGGTGCGCGGCCCGCGCCGCGAAAGCCACGACACGCACGTCACCATCCTGGGCCTGTTCGAGCTGACGGTGCGCGGCCGGGAGCGGCCCCAGGGCCGCAGCGAGCTGGCCGCCGCGCGCATGGCCGTGCGCAGGATCAACCAGCTGGGCATCCTCAAGGGCTACACGCTGCACCTCATCCACAACGACACCAAGGTGAGTCGCGACGCCGCGAGGCTCCAGCCTGCCCCGCCGCTCCTGAAGCTTTTACGGCGCTGGGGTAATGAACGGCTTAGAGGGCACATGTTCACGCAGGACGGATTAGAACCGCCCGCCGTTACAGTGTCTACATAATTAACCACGCGGCGTGAATTAGTGTTGTGCGAAGAGTTGGTGGCGGGGGGTGGGGGAGTGATATGCAGCAGCGTCTCTACCCGCCTCCTCCCCTCCCTCCCTCCCTCCCTCCCTCCCTCGTGCTCCACCCCTCCCCGCAGCCGTCGCCGCGCCCGAGCGTCTTTCGCCGTGGAAGGGATTCGCCGTAATGAAATTGGACCCTAGGATTCGCGAGGACCCAGTGAGATATGAAGCAAAAGCCGGGGGCGACTGATCCTAACTGCCGTCGCGCCGCCGCCGCCGCGCTGCTCCTGCTCCTGCTGGCTGCTGTCTGAGGTGGGGGGCGGAGTGGAGCGGGAGGGGGGCATCAAGATGTCGACGGCGTCCGCCTGCACGACGTGTGCGCGCGCGCGTGCTGGCACTGGCACTAAGTGATGAGGGCCGTGTGCGTGTGTGTGCGCGACGCGCCGTGCGCCGAGCTGATGCGCCTCCTATCTACCCATCCATCTGGCAACCACACACACACACAGACAAATGGAGGGCTGAGGTTGCAGAGCGCGCGCACAAAAGAAAAGAAAAGGAGAAAAACAGAAAGAAATGCGGCATCGCATTGATATGGCTTCGCCGTTGCGGCTCGGGCGCGGCTGCTCCGCGTCGCTGAGTTACATAACTCAGCGCCCAGGCCCCGGGCCTGGCCCTCGACCGACCCAGCCCGCTCAGCCCCCTCTGTTTAGGCTGACTAAACCCCGGATTTAGTTCGGCGGCCCCGGATTTCTCAAGTCAGTGAGCGTGGCGGGGGCGTGGTGG